CTCACATCAATGAAGTTAGATTAATAAAACAGGACAGAGATAGTTTAACATGCCTAATGCTTCCTCTTCCTACAAAAGCAGATTCTGCTGTTGAGATCCCTGATCCTTACACCTTTAGAAAACAGATGTATGGACAGGTTTAATTTTATATGGGGGAATAAATATAAAATGTTGCATCTTGCACAACCAAGAGACACTGCAAACTCCTTCATCTTCTTCGCTCTTCTGGAAGACATGTCTCCAGCCAATGAAAATCTCAGTTGGCAATTGCAAATAAGGCCCTGAACAACTTTACAGTGGCTTCAGTAAAAGTATGCTGCCTTAAGAAGAGAAGGAAATGTTTCTTTGATTCTTAATGTTAATTCTTATTTAAAACTCCCCCACATCTCTCACCTATGAGTGAATGCATTTCACACGGGTAAGCTTAGCAAAGAATCACAGGCTTTTACTGGAAGCTGTATTTCATGAAACGAGACCAAAAATGTCAACAGCAAACATATTGAAGAGGTGTCATTTGAAATATTCCTTTGAACTCATTTGAACTCATTTGACCAAAGCTATTGTTTGGAGTTTAAAAAAAAATTAAATCACAACCATGTGCAGACAGATAGGCTCTCTTTATCTGGTAAGAACAAGGTGCAGAGACTTGTGCGATAGATAATTAATCTCTATTGCTATCTATAGTTTCATTGTTAACACTGTCTTGGTTGAAGTGTGAAAATATGTTCACACTTTTGAAAATGGGCGATTAACTAATCAAATGACAATATGAATCTTAGAAACACAGAAATGACTGCAATCCAACACTACTTATGACTGTATTTTTAATTTCATAAGAAAAACATTATCTGAAGCATCCTTCAAGACCATAAGGGAAGTTACCATATCTTCCCCACTGTAATAATCAGCGCAGAAATTGTGATCACCATCACAAGCCTATTTTCACAAGAGTGCACAGTATTTTACCCTCAGGGAAGTAATTGCAGGGAATGTTTTCTTCGTATAGGCAAGTTCCAAGAGACTGCAACAGCGAGATGACGTAAGCAGCACTGGATAACCAGGGGCAGATGCTAGTAAGCAGTAGTAACTGTCCCACATCAGTGCCTCAGGAGATGTCCCAATTAAGCAAGTTTTCTGGATAAGTATGTCAGTTAAACAAAGCACACGGTACTAACCTGTATCAAAGTGCTGCACAGCAAAAGCCCACACATTTCAGTATAACTTCCCAGGGCTGCAGAACTTGGTGCAACATTCGTATTTAAAAAGATTTGACTAAACAGAAATTACATATTCCGGATGTAATTTCAAAATTCTCTCCTGGGAAGAGATGCAAGTTAGACTTCATGTTTAAGGGAGACCTACTTTGCACTTTTTTTTCTTTCCTTTTTTTCTTTTTTTTTTTTAATGAAACCATCCCTTTATACCCTCAGATGCTCCTACAGGTGGGGCTTGTATAACAGGCACTTCCACATGAAGGAAGTAAATTTATCTTTTCTCTCTGTATAGGTTGATGATCTAATGTACATCTAGATCATACACAGAACATGTACTTAAAAAGTGTTTAGCTTTTTTATCTGTGCTACTAAAGTTCTTGATACAGCTCTTAATACTTCACATCTCTAACACAGTAACCTCCTCCTTTCTGGTCATGAAAATTGTTCTGCTTAAATTCATTCAAACTGCTATAAGAAAATAATTTTCTTATGTCACTGAGTCAACCTCTGCACCATCATTGCACTGACTCCCAAGTGAGACACAAGCTATTTACCTTCATTTAAAGCCCTTTGTGGACAGTTTCTGTCTTATTGTCTTACTTATGCCATTCTTGCTCCACATAATGCCAGTCTCATTTGCTTACCTGTCAGGATAGCACTTTAGCTGACACTTTCTCATTTCCAATACTTTCTAATAGCTCCAAATAGCATGAGACCATTATCAGACTCACATCTGCATATTATGTCATTCAAAAACTATTTCTGCCCCTCAAATCTCCAGAACAAAGTTGTTCTATCCATTTTTCCCTTTGTATTTGTTTTTATTTCCCCAAGATGTCTCTTACTCCTTGCAATTCTTAGCATTCTTTATTCTTGGCTGTCACACATGAAAACAAGACTTGCAGAAAAATCCTGTTTCTGCTTTCCATGCCTGCTACTGGAAGAAGCAGCAGGAGAGGACAAGTTGCTGGATTTTTCTTTTCGTATTTATGGTCTTCATCAAAGAACAGAAATGCTACTTCAAAGCAAAGTTCTGTCAAGCCTAGTATCCTGCCCCTGAAAATGATCAAATTAGCACAATACAAAAAGCTGACATTTAAGTTCAAAGATCTTAATCTTAAATAAAAGAAATCTTTACAGTTCTGATTCTGCAGGGTACATATAAATACCAGTAGCCAAGAGTTTAAGAGCAGCAGAAATTACTAACTTTATTTATTTATTTATCTATTTATTTATTTATTTAACTTACTGTTGTGAGTGTACATTCTCCTTTTTGGTTCTCATGCTGAAAGCTCCTTTTGGTATCATGTCTTTTCGTGTATTTTCTCATTGCATATATATAATAATTTTTCACAGCTTGGCTGGTGTCTTTCTTTTTTTAACACTTTTTTGCATTCATTGCAGAAGTCCATAAAACCCTTAGTAAAAAAAACACAAATAAATTGATATGTTGCATTTTCACAGCCCTCTTCAAGTAAAATTCTCAAATCAGTGTATAAACATTAGCTGAAGTGGTATAGTTTACAGTTACAGAAAAACAATTGTAATATACACATTTTACTCTAAGGAATGAGATCAAACTTGTGAATTTAAAAAAAAAAGCATAAAGACACTTAATGCTCTATAGCAGAAATGCTCTAGATCAGGAAGGCCAAAAGCATTCGAGTGGAAGATTTTGCCTACATCACGCTCTACTAATTTCTGTGAACGTATCGGCATGAAGAACTTGGCTCCTAGTGTGGCCTCAAGTTGAAACAATCCATTTTCAAAAAATGGGACTGAATTTTCGTATGTGTAAAGTAACATTAACCTGGGAAAAAAATGTGGACTTGAAACTTACACCTTTACTTTAATGAAAATTGATTTTAAGAATAAACAGCACAGTAATTTTGATCAAAATTCTTCCTGACTTTTTTTCTAGACTGCTTATTATTATCTTCCAGAGGCATATAAGGTCTATATGGTGTTTGGGGAAGACTCCTGGACTCCGACTTCCCTGAGAATGTAATGCTTAAAGCTCAGTTTCTTTCCACTGAACAGGACGTAATGGTGTTGGATAATGAGGAAATGCTGTATTTGAAGAATTTTTGCCCTCTCGTTTGTGTAAGAGGCTACTGCATAAACTAATTTTCCATATCACCTGTCAGTCTAAAACGTAGAACAAGCCGGTAGGAAAAAAGAGTAGACTTTTTCAAAACTCTGGATTGCATTTGTTAGAACAAGTCCTGACTTTCACCTCTTACTACAACTCCTTGGCTTTAATTTCTCTGAATTTCTAAGGAATCACGTTCTCAGGTTTTTGAAAGTATCATACTTTCTCACAGGCTTTTTTTTTATTCCATGTTTTGTTTCTGTAAGTGGTCAGCCTTGCCTCATGCCACTAATAACTACAGAAAGACCGGTCAGATAAATATACTGGAGACTCATAAATAAAAGATATCACCATTACTCCTCTGCCTTTAAAGTGTACTTCACATATGTCTCAATGCTTACTTACAGACCAAAAGGCCACACAGATAAATCAGTCATTTTAATAGTATCAAACTTTTAGTGACACTATCCATAAAAAGCATTTTGTATTCTTTCTATAGACCTCCTCATTTGTATAGAAGTTTTTCATAGGCAACCACACTGTTCTTCAAATTTTGTCTTAAGCCCTGACTATTTTTAGTAACCAGGCCATAGTCATATTTGTCTATAGTCACAGTCATGTCAATAGTCATTCATTCCTCTATAGCATAGCAAAAGCATCTGTTTGACCTTTTGACTGCTAGCAAATATTATGCAATGTTTTACATGGCAAGGTAGTTTTTTCTGTATGCAGTGCTTGAAAAAATGGCAGGACATTGACACAACAGAAAACAGAGGTACTTGACATCCTTTTCACTGAACTGCACAAATAGAGGTAAAAAAAATGTAATCGGTAATAACTGAGGTATGGAGTAACTCAACTGCTGCATTTTGCTTGGCTGACTACCACACCAACAGGAATTTTTGTAACAGTATTTCATCAGAGTTTCCGGTGGGACACTAGATTTCCTGATTCTTCCATCACTTGAACCTCTGTCACAGGAACGTGGTCACAGAGTCAGGAGCCAACTCATTGATAAGAACGGCCACCACTGTAACCACAGGATCACAGAATGGCAGGGGTTGGAAGGGCCCTTTGGAGATCATCCAGCCAAGCTCCCTGCTGGAGCAGGGTCACCTGGAGCAGGTTGGACAGGAACGCGTCCAGGCGGGTTTTGAACATCTGCAGAGAAGGAGACTCCACAACCTCTCTGGGCAGCCTGTTCCACTGCTCTGTCACCCTCAAAGTAAAGAGGTTTTCCCTCACATTGAGATGGCATTTTCTGTGTTCCAGTTTGTGCCCGTTGCCCCGTCACTGGGCACCACTGAGAAAGTGTGGTCCCATCCTCTTGACACCCACCCTTTATATATTACAAACACTGATGAGGTACCGTCTCAGCCTTTCTCTTTTCCAGGCAAAACAGAGCCAGGTCTCTCAGCCTTTCCTCATGAGAGAGATGCTCCACTCACAGTCTTTTTAGCCCTTCATGATTCTCACCTTCCCCTTCAAGCCCTTGCTGTGGGGCTTTCCAGCCCTCATGACTCTCATCTTCCCTTCCCTTCCTGTGGCACCCCCGAACACCCCGATACCGGTCACCCTCTCCCCGGCCGAAGGCAGCGGAAACACCCTGCCCTGCCCCCGCCTCAGGGCCTGCCCCCGCCTCGCGGCCTGCACCCGCGCGCCACTCCGCGCACGCGCCTTGGCCGCCTCCCTCGCGCCGCGGGTGCGCCTGCGCGGTGTGGGCCTGGGGCTGCCTGCGCACATTGCGCAGCTGCCGACGTAGCGCGGAGCCGCAGATGGAGCCTGCCCCCGGCGCCGCAGG